CTAAGTGTTGTACACTCATAATCTTACTTGATTTTCACAGTATCATACATAGTGAGAGAAGTGCCTATTATCTTCATTTTTCAGAAAACATAGATTAAAGAGTTGATGGCACTTTTACGCTATCCCTGGAAATTTTAAAGTCTTTTTGATTTCAGAATTTTCACAGAATTGCTTACTATGTAAGTCATGTAATATTTTTCAGCCTCATTTCCCTCATCTTTACCACAGAAAGGAAAAATACTTTACTTTTATGTTCATGGGAGAACTTAATGCCTGACACATGAGAAAGAACTTACTGTAGTGTCTGATATACAGCAATTATACTCATGATAGTAATCATTATTATTATTATTATTATTATTATTTTTCAGATTTGTAAATATAAATCATAACATTAATGTGGAATTGACTTGGGGGAGGAAGAATGGGAAGATTTCTGCATAAGTCCTAAAATATGGCTGAGCAATCAGCTGGACTTTTCTAGAAGGACAAAATCTCTTCTATGCAACTTGAATTTTATATAAGGTTGTGTCTAACCTAAAAAACTAGCTAGCATTTGTTGCCCTTAACGCAGAGAAACTAAAACAGATACCTTAAAGCAACTGAGGCCAATAGGAAAAGGGGAACAGGTACTAGAGAAAAGGTTAGATCAAAAAGAATTAACCTAGAAGGTAACACCCACGCACAGGAAATCAATGTGAGTCAATGCCCTGTATAGCTATCCTTATCTCAACCAGCAAAAACCCTTGTTCCTTCCTATTATTGCTTATACTCTCTCTACAACAAAATTAGAAATAAGGGCAAAATAGTTTCTGCTGGGTATTGCGGGGGGGAGAGGGAGGGGGTGGAGTGGGTGGTAAGGGAGGGGGTGGGGGCAGGGGGGAGAAATGAACCAAGCCTTGTATGCACATATGAATAATAAAAGAAAAATGAAAAAAAAAAAAAGGTTGTGTCTAGTCTTTCTGAAGGCTCAACTCAGCCTGTTACTATTTAGCTTCAATTACTGTTAATTTTATTTGGTTTGGTGTAAACCATAGTTTATGCTATGAAAGGGAGAGTTAATCTGAAGCATAAATTATGGAAAGGAATTTCATACATTGCACTTACCAATATTTCCGACTCTGTTCCCTAGTAGATTGCAGATTTTCAAGGGCATAGTCATGTCTTGCTTATTCATTTTTCTACAGTGTCTTTTAGGTGCATGTCTCATAATAGGTGCTTAAGAAAGTAGCTTTCCATGAAGGAAGCAATAAATGAATGAATGAAAAGGAAAGTTGTTCTAATATAGACATCACATTTTGGGGCTAACTTTCAGCTGAGATGCTACTAATTTAACAATGGCTATTTTTGCATCAGTGGTACATGATTCTCTAAAGCTTCATTAAACATGTGCCCACTAAAATCAGATGCTGCATATACCAGGTGAAAATCATTTGTTCACTAGAGCATTAACTTCAGTGACCGGAAGTTAATACTTCATAAAACTAATAGCATGAGTTAACAACAATAAAACCACTCTTTCTGTTCACCATAAAAATAACCCGATACATCTTCCTTTCATCTAGCACTGGTAGGGGGCTAGAGTCTATCAATTTCTTTTGACTAAAAGAGCCCTTTCCCAAGGACAGTCTTGAAGCTCAGAAGTCAGTGCCTCTCTTTCATGGAGTACAACAGGAGTATATCAGACTCCAGCAAGTACTCCCATGGCCTGTGGACACTGAAGATAGCAGTATTAGTTATTTAGCTTTGAGTCATTCTGGAGGGTGAACCATCTCTGTATGAACTCACATTGTAATGGGGTTTAGAGAATTTCTAGTTCTATAACACCTCCCTGTTTAGGGCCTGTTCCCACTTCTGCAATCAAAAAGATTCTGCTTTGAAACACTTATTCCTTTAGATTGTGAGAATATGAAGGATGACAAGTTAAACTACATTTAGATAGAAGGAAAAAAAAACATGTAAAGGAAAAACAGAAACATAAAATCTCAGAAAGCTCATGTTATAGGTACATATAATGTTCTCATTCCTTTCCCAGACTGGGGGTGCAGGAAGGAGGGAAAAGGAGAAGCAGCGTCTGTTTAAGGTCCTGACAACTGTTAAAGGTAATACCACAATGTTGTGCTCTCCTATAACTATACCATTGTGAAGCTCCTCTCTGCCCCAGCCAGCTGAGCTCTGGAAAATCACCCCAGACATGGATTCATCAGGTCCTGTCCATTCTGCATTTTCATCATAGAAAAGATAAGCACATGAGAAGCAAAGCAACAGTACTAGGTTTTTGTGGTTACCTGTGCTTCCTTTAGCCTCTCCCTGGATCTGGGAGATCTTTGCGGAGTAAAGGTGAAGAGTAGCTATCACTTTGGCAAGTAATGGGGAGAGGTAAAGTGGATAAGAAAAGAGTCCTTATCAGCTGAAAGGAACAGTACTTACAAATGTCTTGTGCATATAATTATTGAATCATTCCCAGCCCTTCAATTCCAAAGTAAGAAAATTGGGATTAGATTTAGAAACTGTTTTCATAAAATTTGCTTCCACCTTTACATATTTTCTTTTAATGTTCACTTAAAATTATTTTCCTGAATAAATATCATTACATGTGTATGTGTATATTTATGTGATCAAATATAAAGTTGAAAAAAAGATAACAAATGTCTTTTTCTTTTTTGTATGTCTCTAGGTCTTTTCATCTTGGTAGGGGAAAGCTTCTTAACAGCAGGGAAGGACTGTTCTTCCTTTCTGTTTTTCCCACTTCCCCCACACTTTTTCTGACACTTTTTATTTGGTGCTAAAGAAATGAGAAGGAAGAGAAGTTAGAAAGCAAGGATCTTTTGTTCCCAATTAACTCTGCTTCTCTGTGTGGCCCAGGTCATTACTTAGATAAAATGTCTTTACTATAGTATGTACTACCTCCTTCTTGTCTATCAGGACATCTCAATGTAATAAGCCTTGACATTACCTAGGCTATTTTCAAACTAGTGAAGAAACAAAAGTTAAATTGAATCTTGCTGTTACAGAAAAACTTGGACCATTCCTGAAGTAGATATATATTGAATTGGTCCCCTCTGTAAATCTAGATCTGACCCAAGGAAACTTGGCCTGTTTGCCCTGGTGTCTCCTTACACTCTGTGCCCCACCCTCTCTGTACTCGACACTCCCATTCTCAGCCAAGACAGCCATGAGCAAATCTAATCTCTAGACTGTTAATATCTGAGAGCTCTAAGAACTGATCAAAGACTCCTAAGCACATTGTGTAGCATAACTGAGACCTAATGCTTGTCACTAAAAAACAAATTGATTATTCCAAATAGTAGCTTAGGAACTGGCTAAATTGGAATGACCTGGGAAACCTGTTACATAATGGATTCAAAGGCTGAATGCCCAGAATTTTGCCTTGCATGTTTTACAGGCAGCTAAGTGTGCTAGTTTAGACTTCAAGTCAGCCGTCACTCTGGTGAGCCATTGATCCCTTATTTGATGCAATCACTTTCATCTTATTCACCCTACTCCAGTGCTGTTTGCCTAATTTTCAAGAACTGGAATTATATAACTTTGCCTGATCTAATTGAAAGGAAACTAGGATCTGTTGAGTTACTCCTACAAAACAATCCATTGAGAACCATCCTCCCAATACAGAGATCCAAGACAGCTGTATAAAAGAGTTGTGAACAATAGGGTATGGGTACACACATGTGCTTACACATGTATGCACACACTTATTGCTTTGTCTCAGAGAGCCATGGATGAAGTTGGCCATGCTTTTGGCCATGGATGCTGTGAAACATCACTCAGATTGTACATGCACAGTTCTGGGAACCATTTTCATAGACTGCAATGTGAATAGCCTTCCACCAGTTGTGCACTGCAGTGATCCTTGGAAAAAGTGAGTCAGTTTGAAGATGGGAAGGGACCCACCACTGAGGAAGGAAACACAATATTTGGGGGTGAAATTTCAACAAGATTCAACAGGATTATCTTCTTGTTATGCAGTGGAGTCTCAAGCTGTATTGCCTGTTAGCACATGAAAACACATACGTACACATTCTATTTCTTCAGTGTCCCCATTTCTCTAACACAGGATGATCTGCAAATGGTTTCCCTCCACACCTCTGTACCACAGCTGAATTGGGAAATGCCACAACATATCAAAAGTGAAGAGTTAGCTCCTGGTGTATGGTTTCTCAAATTGGCTCTGCCAGCGTTCTGGAGCTACTGAATGACAATCCTGATTGCCTTTGTCTCCAAAACCCTTTTTAAAACCCAGTCCCATGCAAAAAAGCACGTTCATTTCATGCAACACAGCTCATAAAGTTCCAAATACCCCACTTTACTGGTACCACTCGGTTGGAAGTGCCTTGAACAAAGATCATGCACAGCGTAGCAACAGGGTGTGTTCACCACCAACACATGGAAGTCAAGGAGCTGCAAAGCTACCATAGCCAGAGGAGGATTAGCTTTCCTGGTTTTCAGTCAAGAAAAGTTGATTGACTCTATAGTCCGCCGATTTGGCATGGAATTTGCCCTTTGCAGTAAGATGTTGTTACATTCAAAGTCAGTCAGGTTAATTTCCAGTCTCATCCGGGCTTTGAGGCTGACTTGCTCCCTCAATTGCAATCCTTCCTCAAAATAGTCTTAAGCTTTTGCCTTTGTTTCATTTTCCTGAAATGTGAATTTCCTCCAATCTCTTCCACTTTGCAAACTCCAAAACCATTTGATCAATATGTTAAAATCCAAAGGAGAGCTGACTGTTAGCTAAGGCTTCAGACATGCAAAGCGCACAACCCTGAGAAACAGCGGCATCTGGGACAGGAGGCTCCCGTTATTTACATGAGGATGGCGTGGGTTTTGCAAATCAAACACACACAGAAAACCAGTGGTGGCCCAGGGCGGACACACTGTATGGGATGCACAGTTGAGCAAGGATCCAGACCAGGGAGCCACCTGTTCCTCTAGCTTGCATACATTTATTTCACACCACCTCAGGCCACTCACAGATTGCTTACCTGCTCATTGTTGCTCTCCACCATTCCCCATACTCCCTTTGGGGGTGAAACACTCTATTTCCGACTTGTGCTGGGCCAGCCTCCTGTCTTTGTACCTGGTGAGCATGAACAAGGACAGGAGCAAACAAAAAGACGTGATTGTGTGCTTAACTGCCAGGGTGAGGAAGAGCCTTGATTGTAGACAGAGTTGTTGCCCTACACCAAAACAGGGAATCCTGCTTCTCAGTGCCTGACCTGTGATATTTATTAGATGACTGTGAGAGAATATGGAAAAGGTTAGGGATGATTTGTTACTTCTTGTTAAAACACAAACAATCTACCTTTTTTATGTTACAGATTATTCTGTGAATAATCACATCTAATAGTCAATGATAAAAGGAATGTAACTTCTAGCATCTAACAAGAGTATCAACCAGTAAATTTGAATTTATTTTATGTCTATCATGTACTAGAACTTTACCTAAATTTAATCCTGTTAATAATCGCACGACAGAGGCTCTGTTATTATTTCCATGTTACTGATGAAGAAGCCTAAAATTATAAAGATTAAGTAAATTGAACAAAGACAACAGGGAGTGGTTTATCTGGGTTTTGAACACAAGAAATCAAGGTTTTGGACTTACACGTCAGCCATTATAACATGTTGCCTTCATTATCAGTTTTTCTAAAGCCAAATGCTATCATTAAGCACCTTTACTGAGTGGTACAAAGTCTGAATATTACATTAGGCAATGGAAATGCTGAAAGAGAAAAAGGCATCTTCCTTAGATAAGAGAGATTCCGATAGCTGAAGTTTGACAGTCAGTATTGGGTCACTCAATATAGGAGTGTGGCTCAAATACTTTTTGTAGCAGAATTGGCAGATCACCTCTCCTAGAGGGTACTAGATGTTTCATCTACAGTGAAAAATAAGATTTACAACATCAGTCTGCTACAAAGTATGTCAAGGTCCTTATGTTTTAATGTTAGTTTTTTTGAGACAACAGGCTTTTACCAAAATGATCTTCTACTCATCATTTTAAATCTGTGGGGTAGCTAAAGAAGCACTGTGAGGCCCATTTTCCAAATGAGGAATCTGAGACTTATTTCACTAACTTCATCAAAGGCGCAAGTTTAGCCAGTGGAGAATAACTGCCAGCAGAGATTGCAGAGATGCAAAATTTGAGGTTTATTATTTTTTCCTTATAAAACTGACATGACTCCACTTCATCCAGGCTCTTAGTACTCCATAGGCAATGATAAAGTGAGTTACTATCATAAGATTTGCTAATCCCAAGTAAGTCATATTCTTTTTAGTTCTTTTCCTGCTGTCTCAGAAGTAACAGAATAAAGTGAAATGTAATAAAATCAAGATAATTATTAGTCCTGAGGCAGAGGCCCTCTTAATTGTTTTCCCCTTCTAAAATGTTAAAAAGCATTTAGTATTGGAATGAAAATGCCTTGTTACATCAGACCAAATGGAGGTAATGGATTAAATTACACAGTGGGCATTAGTTGAGCCTCTAATAAATTCTAGGCAATGGGTGTTGAGCTCTGGCTATAAAGGTAAATATTCTGCAGGCCCTGCCTTGGCAAGGTCACAGAATAGGAAGGCAAGAAAAACCGTGCAAACAAGTAACTTTAAATCTACGCCATGAAGAAGAGAGGAAAGTTACTTGAATATTTAAAGAGGTGGAGCATCAAACCATGCTAGATTGAGAAGTCTTTACTTTAGCAAAAAAAATACCTTAGACATATATATGGGGGACTGTCCAGGGTGGGATCAATGAGAGAGGGAGACGGATAAGAAAGGATATTGAGGGGTGAAGAGAATGGAAGTACACTACATATATGCATATGAAGACCGCATAATGAAATCCACCAAACACTGTTTGAAAGAGGGAAAAAAAGCAGAGGGGAAAATGGACTATAAAGGAGGGGGTGAACTGGTTCAAGGTACACTGTACATATGTATGGAATTATCACAAATTTCCTCATATTATTAATGTATGCTAAATAAAAAAGAAAATACCTTAAAAAAAGTTCTTCGTGAAGTAGCAAATCATTGAATAATACTACACATATCAGCACAAAATATTTTGTGCTTATTTGTGACTTGGATTGTGCAACCAAAATACTGCTGATCAGCTTAAATAAGACTAATAATAATAATGGATTCATAAGTTATTGAAGGTCATTGAATTTCTTGCAAAGGGTTCCTTAACATATTTTTGAATATCAACTGTTAGGCTAATTGCCAATTGATCATTTAAATTCTTCACAAATGAGTTTAAAATGCCTATATTTTTTGTGCTCATAGCTCCTCCCTTTCTCTTTCTCTCTCTCTCTCATGCCCCCACACACTGCCAGGTGATTCTAAAATCCTATCAAAGCTTGACATTTTTTGGTAAGAACTGCACCCAAAACAAATAAAAAAAACCCAAACAAAATTCATTCCAATAAAGCAGACGATAACCTTACAGGTTTTGGAAATTTCAAGTAGTTTTTGTATTCAACATAAGGTGAAAATGATATTAATCACTTTTGCTTTTAGAGAGACTTTTCTTGCCAGCCTATAGCAATAACTACAACTTTATTATGTTTATCAGATACTTAAGTAGATGATATTTTCATTTGTACATTATGATATTCAGCAATTATGTACTGTCAAAGTAACAAATAATGCTTTAATCATCTCCACCTCAGATGTATAATTCTTTCTAGTTGAGTTTATTTCAGAAATATAGAACTGTTGATTAAATATAGTGGAATTTAAAGTTTATGAAATACCATTTTAGAAATTTCAATTATTTTATGGAATAAATCCATACATCCATAACACATACTGCAATGTACACATACACACACATGCATGCTTTCAAGGCACTATTCTAAGTTCTTTACAAGCATTGATTCACTTTTTGAATAAAACGCAAACATTACAATAGAAATAATACTAATAGTTACAGCAGAATATTGAGTGTGCCAGGCAATATCCTAAATCCTTAGCAATACCTTATAAAGCAGATGTTATTCTCCTCACTCTGATGGGGCAGACTGAAGATCAGAGCCAGCAAGCCTAAGCTTGCATGGTTTATGGGGAGGGAATCTGAGAGTAGAAATCAGATTTATCTTATTCTAAAGCTCAGTTATTTTTATTAAACTATCTTCTGAGGAACAACATTAATAAATTTAGAAACAGAACTACAGAAGCATGTTATTTACCTTTTCTCTTTGTGACTCCCAGTTTTCAAGTGAGTGGCAGAGTTAACAAGGAGGCTGTGGTGATAGGACTTTAAATGTAGTACATTCTCTATGATGTACTACAGCATTTTAGGTTGAAGCTTACAAGATGATTTACTAAACACTCCACGTGCTGCACACCATGAAAAGGAGCACATGGGTAACTCTATGCTATTGCTAAGCTCACAGTAGGGAGGAGGAGGATGAAATGCAAAGAGATAATTTCTAAACAATGTGAGTAGCTTTATTGTAGAAATAAATAAAAAAGGGTAATCTACAACCCATACTAGAATGGTGTGGAAAACTTTAGTGGGGTAGGATGCCTAAGATAAATCTTAAAAGATCAGGAGACACAGACTGTGAAAAGAAGGGTAGGCAGGGAAAAGTCAAGAACAAACAGCAAATGGTGTATCTGAAGAGGTGCTGAGGCATTTTGTTTTGTGTATGTTTGTGCTTTACTGAAATAACTCAAGTGTAAAATAAGTGATGATGAAATGGGGATGCAGTTGGAGAGATATATAAACAGTGATGCATCCATCTCTATGTTAGAGATGCTACTCTGAGATCTTTAAGCTAGGATAAAGCACGACCAGGGTTGATATTTGGGAAAAAATATACAGACTTGAGGGACTAAAACTAACATTGAGAAAATACTAGTACAATAGGGTATGAAGTAGATGAAGAAATAATGTCATAGCATAAGCTCATGTTGATGAAAAGTAGTTTAAAAACTATTTAGGAGTCAAAATAAGTAGGATTTATTGGATGGTGAGTGTAAAAGCTCAGAATGCTCTCATGGTTACTGTCTTGTGTGGTAGAATTAACTGAGCTAACAAATTTCAGGAAAGAAAGTACATTTGGGGGAAGAAATAAAAGTTCAGCTTAGAATACTGGCTGTGAGACGCCAGTGGGACATCCAGGTGACATGCTCAGGAGATATAGGGTGTAAGAATCTGGATGTTGGAGGCCTATTTTACTTGGGGGACCCATTGGCACACAGATGGTCACAAATACGATGAGAACAGTTCAAAATGCTCAGAGAAAACAGGTAGACTATGTGGCCAATGGAGAGATCAGTTTACAGACTTATTTGTTCTACCTATTCAAAAATTTTTATAACACTGTCAATGCAAGCATTCCCACAGAACACTTACTAAGTGCTACTATATACCAGGCACTGAGTTAGGGGTTCTTCATCTGATGGTTTTCTTACGAGATCCAGATTTCTAGGTTTATGCTCTATAGCGCTGACACTTGAGTTTATGGCCAAAACCTTGTCATAAAAAACTCTCACAAAAGTTTTATTAGATTTCATAAGATTTATTATGAAATAAGGTTGTGTTGCCTGAAGATTGCCTTTTGCTCTTTTGGTACGTAAGTTGTTCAGAAAACTCTAGCTCCACTTCACTCATTTTTATTAGAACCCACATTTAGGTGACAATTCTAAAAGATGTAGGGGTAAGAATCACTTGACTGAATAATAAATGTAAATTCTCCATAATATTTTTGGTTTCCTTTCTTTCCTCTTCTTCTACCAATAGCTATTGAAATTTGGTTTACCAAATTTTTATATTGGCTATGTGATCCACAGTGGTTAAATGAGTCCAGCATGAGATTAAAGGTTAGAATAAAATGATGAAAATCAAAGAATGAACATGCATATCAGGTGATACAGCAGGTATTGAGGGACTGATGCTTGAAACTGGAAGGAAAGGAGTGGAAATCTGAGGTGATGAGTTTGAGCACATGGCCCAAAACAGGATGCATACTGTGCATTAGAATTCAGTCATTAGATTTGGCGGGGGGGAAATGATGGTGACAGTAGTTTATATAAGCACTAAAGACTCTCAGAATAATAGCAGAACTCAGGATG